CTGCTGGTCTGCTCCCAGCTGCCCTGCATGCTGCCTGGCTTGCGCAGTCTCACTCTGACAGATCCTCCACCACCCCCAGTGCTTTCCCATGGACAGCATTTGGAAAAGCAGCAGAAAGGCCACACAATAAAAAGCCAGTTGGTGAAGACAGCTCGCAGAGTACAGCAGTGTGTACGTGTCCCCAGACAGCAGCACGTATCCTGGGCTGCTCCTACACCCTCCCCTCTGCTCTGTACCATGGCTGATGCTGCACATGCACGTGGCATTCCCTTACCTGGGATGTTGGGGTCACTGAGGCCACTTGGAATTCTCCACTGATCCACCTGCAACTTCAGTGCATTGACTTCATCTATGTCTCCAGGTATCCTGCAAGCAAAGGCACAGCAAGGACACTTCAGAAGGCAAATGGTACATGGCAATGTGCCTGGTGAGGCAGCTGGCCAGCAAACCATGCCTCCAAAAGTGCTTCTGGGGCACTGGGGAGAAGGGAGCACACACCAGCAGCAGCTACAGAAGCAGCTCGTCAGAAAGAATGCTTTTAGACACAGCTTTAAAATGCAGGCAGAAAAGCCACCCGTCTCCTTCCCTCAGACATCAGCTGTAACTGCCCCCCCCAGCAGCACAGTCAGCCCAGAGATAAAAGCACCTCTGGCTAAATATGCCAAGATATCAGAAACTACTGCAAGGCAAAGTTGATTCTTTTGTGAGTTACCTTCAATTAAATTTAATAATTGAAAAACTAACACAAATCTTAAAACAAGCAAACAACAGAAGAAAACAACCAAACTCAGAGCCTCGCATTCATCATACGGATACTCTGTCTCTCTGGAATCCTCACGTGCTCATCCACAGCAGGACATCCTGAGCTGTGTGTATCATCAAGGCTGAAGCGCTGCATTTGATGAACTGCTTTTATCTGACAATTTCTGTCATCCTTCTATAATTGCTTTCAGTCACTGGAGAGTACTGATTGGCATTGGTCTGCCTTTCAGAATGACCCGCTCAGGGAGATCCCACATGTGATAATTATCTGCAACCTCTCAAGTGTTAATTACCCACTGAACGCAGGAGAAAAGCAGCAAACCTACAAGTAGTAGCATTGTATTAAGGTCAGTGCAAGCTACTCTCTAGCAAAGCCCCGCTCTACAGCCTGCCTCCTGCAAGGGATGCTGCAGTCACAGCAGTGCTGTCCTGTGCTTTGCTCCCTGTCTGGTGCTGTCCTTCCCAGTCAGTTCAGACTTCCACCTGCCAGGCAGCCCCTTCCTTTCCAGGGAGCACAAACAGCATCAGTGGAGCACGTGGGGCTCACAGGGGAACAGACTTTCTCCAGAAGAGGCGTGGGAAGCTCACACACCATGGCTGCAGATGCAGCTCCACCAGCAGCCTGAACTTTACCCTTCCCTGCATTGGCGGCCGCTGCTGTCTGACAAAAATTCAGTGCTGCGCTGTCACAAGCTCAAATCACATCTAGGGTTTCCCTTGTGACAATACATGCAAATGGGCTGATGCTACTTGACCACCCTGAGCCTGGGAAAGTTCAGTGCTTTCTGTCTGGCAGTGTGCTCTTTCCAGGGAAGGGGAACCCCGCTGAGGTCAATCGTCATTTCTCAGCTTTCAGGACCGATGCTCAGGTGGATCAAAAGTAACACAGAACCCCACAAGCTCACCTGAAAATCCCTTCAGTCTGTTCTCCTCCCAGAGCCAGGACCTGCTGCGATAGCTGCGTCTGCACCCAGGGCAGCTTGTGGCCCGGGTACATGTCCTGCTGCCGCAGCATGATCTCCTCCAGAGAGCTGCCAAACAGCGACGGCGTCACGATGGCATTTCTGGCATGTGTGATCTCCTCCACTGTTGGCTTGCGGAGGCCCTGGGGACAGAGGAGAGCTGAGCACAGCCGTGGGCCGAGGGCCGAGGGCTGCTCGTGTGTGTGCCGCCTCTGGGAGCCCCCCAGCAGCCCTGGCTCTGCACATGCTGTAACTGAGGGGAGCCAAGGCATTCAGCTCAAAACGAGCAAACAGCTGCTGCCTGCTGGCGGGGGGCGGCTTTGGAGTTCGGGGTGTTGCTGTAGGGGTTTGCATGCGGGAGCAAAGCCAGCTCCGCGGGAAGGGTGCAGGGCCGGTCTGTGCCTGGGCTGCAGCCAGGCCAGCAGAGGGCATGCGAACACCGGCCCCAGCTCAGGAGAGCGCCTGGTCGCAGGACAGCTGAGAAACAGCCCTGGGAGAGGAGAATTCCAGGTATGTTCAAGCCCAGGGCCTGGCTTTGGATCACCCTCAGAGGTGCTAAAGGGCTCTGAGAGGCGCACACAAGAGAGCATCCAGCAGCTGCTCCTACCGAAGGACACTCTGGAAGCGGCTGCCGATGCTCCCTAGGAGCTCCCACTGAGCCCATGGGAGCAGCAGCCCTTGGGGCACAACGTGTGACCCTACATTTCCTGCTCTGCCCCTCGGGAACAACAGCAGTGTCACCCCTCCCGAGGTATTCGAGCTATCTGCTCACTGTACATGGAGTCCAGATGGCAAGGACACCCCAGGGGGATTTGCAGAAATAAAAGACAACCGGATCTGGCTCAGAGGCCTGGGATGGACGGGCTGGGGCTGCATGCCAGCATTCACAGCTCTGTGCAGAGAAAAGGGAGGGGGGGGATTTCCAGAGCACAGGGGCCTGATCTGTACCAGGGATCTCTATTGCGTGACATCTTCAGCTGGAAATGGACGACTCTACAGTAAACCAGGTAGAAGAGCAGGCGCATGCAAGGTCTCAGGGTGCAAACGGAGATTCCCCAGCGATGGGCATTCCCTGCAGGTAGCTCCTATTGCCCTGGAGACTGGGAGCCATCAGCTTTATCCTCCAGGTCCCCAAGGCCGCAGCACAGCAGCAGCCTTCTCCCACACATCCATGGGGAGATGAGCCATCAGCCATGAGCCATGAGCAAGCCTCCTCCGCTCTCTATCTCTATTTTCCATCACTGAATCAGCAGTGGCCTCCGAGTGTCACAGGGCTGACGCCTCTGGGACATGGAAAGCAGAGCACTGCACGGCAGCCCGAGCCCCCAGCACCACACAGCCACTCACCTTCTTGCCCCCGGTGACGGCTACTTTCTGGAGTTTGCGGTAGCAGTATTTGGCATACGTGCTGATGGGCAGACCTGGCAGGAAGGAGAAAGGAGCTGTCAGCCCACAGCGCCGTGCTGCTGCCACGCCACAGCTCCGTGCAAAGCACCAGCACAGCAGTTTGCACTGGCGGAAACATCCACCCCCATTCTGTGCAGCCTGTTCTGCAGGCAGGGCAGAGGCTGCTGAAACTTCCATAGAACACGCCGAGCCCTCCCAGCCCCACAGCCCCATGGCAGGTGGTGTCAGTGCAAGTTGGTGCTCGGGCTCTGAGGGATCTGACCAGTGACTCAAGGCTCGCAGCTCTGCACCTCACAGCCCTGCACACACACAGTCTGACCCCTGACTCAGTGCCCTGCATGGGCACACACGTAAGCATGAGTCCCCATTCCCTGCTGCATGGCAGAAGCTGTGGGGCTCACAGGCACAGGGCTGGGAATCCGAATGATGCATGAGCTTCACAATGAGCACGCAGAGCCAGCCTCTTGCCAGGAAAGATTTCAAGTGTTTTAAACAAATTGTTCATGATTCAAACACTGGGATAGTGAGAGAGGCAGCGGTGTGCCAGGCCCAGAGAGCCAGCATCAGCACCTTCTGAATGAAGGCAGCGAGGGAAGGCGCAGGAATGCACCGGGTTCTCTCTCAGCTTCCCAAGGGCCTGCAGGAAGCTCCCCTGTTCTCCTGGCTGCAGCCTCCTCCAGCGCAGCCTTCAAACATAAGACTGAGGTGTGCTCTGTGAGGCTGACCTGGTGCACCGGAGCCCAGCGGTGTCACCGCAAGAGCCACAGCCTTCTGCAAGAAGGGCTGCTCTTGTGCTTGGTTCAGCTCTGAGGGCAGCAGAGCCAGGATTCACAGAGCTAATCCCCCTGTGACACCAAGAGAAATATTTGCACTGACAGAACAACTGATTGCTGGAAGAGTTTTTCCAAAACTGTTGGCCTTTTGTTCTTTTCTGAGTCAAACCCGAATTGCTCGCTGAAAGCACTGAATAGATCGCCCTATTTGATTCCCTGCCAGGCTTAAAGCTTGCAACAGAGTTCAAAATACTTGTGGCTTTTAAAATCTGCATTCTGGTCAGATGCTGCTAATTTCAGAGCAGCCTTTCAAGAGCTCTGTAGCTTAGGTAAGCTGGTCAGGATCCTGGAGTTCCTCAAATGCTCTCGATGCAGGAAGAGGACAAGCTTCCCCAGCAGAGCAACACGACCCTCTGCACTGGAGGAGACACAACAGGTCCTGCAGGCACGTCAGGTGAAGCTCACTTTCTGCTTTCCCAGGGACTCCGAGGGAAAGGCCCGAACCCCAGCTGGCACTGCCTGTGCTGCACGCCCTGCTCCAGCCACGCTCACACTGCGCCCCCCAGGCCCTGCAGCCACGTTCCTGCCCATCCCCACTCCCATCCCCAGCCAATGGCCGCAGCCAGGACAGGTGGCCTCGGCCTGGCAGGGCTGCCCCGGGGTAATTCCACTTCTGTGAGCGCACGGCGGGCCGATGGAATCCACGCTGAGCTGCCATTTCCTGTGGTCCCGCAGCAGCCCCGTGAGCTCAGGAACAGAAGACTCCTCACAACCCACACAGTGAAAAACAGTTTGCAAAGGAAAATATTTTTCCATGTGCTGGTCTAAAAACATATGCAGAGAGCTTCTTGAAGAACCTCTCCTTTTATAACAAGTTAAAACCCATGCAAGGCACACGGGGGAACATACCTTCTGGAACACACTCTCCTGCCAAAAAACGTCTTAAAAATGCAGCAAACAACACGGATGGGAGCCCAGCCCTGGACACGTACTTTCACACAGCAGAAGCCATTGTGTTTGTGTGCCCAGCACTGCACTCTCACCAGATCCTTCTGCACCTTTAGTTTTCACAGCCCTGCAGACCCCGTGCCAGCACCAAGCTGGCAGCTCATTATCTGCCTCTTTGTACAGCTCACAGCGAAGGCCAGCAAACATTCCTGCGGGATCAGGAGACAATTGTCCTTGTGAAAGCAGATCATTTATTTCTACTCATTCTTCTGCCTTTCAATGGGTTACTGAGCCGTGAAAGGATCTTGCACCACCTTCATACCTCATCTACCCACAGAGAATTAGGCTGGAAGATGAAGACTGCATAGGTAAGCGTGGGAAACTTCACAGAATTTCTTTGGGTGCCTGTCAGATGCTAAATGTTTGATCACCCCCGTGTTTGCTTACAAGCTCAAAGGGTATGGGGGGGAATCACGGCTCTGACTGCACTTTTCTCTGAAAGACATACATATCTTTGCATATATCACCAAATTCTGTTTGAAGACACTACATTTAACTTCCTTATAGATTTCTCTGTTAAATTGTTGCTAAATTGCCAAGTGTCTAAGTACCTCATGGCTACTAATTAACTTCCCAAAACAAGCCTGCAGCTTCAGGAACCTCACAAGGAAGGCAGATGGGGCTGGTGGAGCAGACAGAGGGACCCCAAGGAACAACACGGACAGCCCAGCACTTCCAGCAGGATTGCCCCGGCTGAGCGGCAGCTCCTCTGGGCTCCCTCCAGAAGAAAGCCTCCCACTGCTGTCACTTGTGGAACGCTGTGTCCAGCCCTGCCCTGCATGCCTCCTGTGCTGCACTTTGCACTCTGTGCCTGCGGGCAGCAGGTCAGCCATCCTAAAACCCCACTTCACTCCCAGAGCAGGTCTTCTGTTTGCAATGAAGCGGGCAGAGTCCTGCGAAGGGAGCAGCACGTGGGCTATCATCAGAGCCCCAGTGAAGGCCACAAAAGAATTTCTGATTTTCAAGTGCTTCTTTCTGCAGACTTAATAAAGTTTCCTTGGTGTGCTGTTTGAGTACAAGTTCTTACCTATGTGTTTTAGTAAAAACTACCTCTATCTTCGTCCTAAACCCAAGCCCTGCACACAGCACAGGGGGAATTTCACAGCAGCGCCTGCTCAGCCCGCAGGTGGAGCACGCTCTGTGCAGAGCTGCCCTATAGGATACCAAAGTCCCTCTAACAGCAGCACCATGACTTTTCAAAGGCTCGGAATGGGCTAAACTCTGCAGGGCCTGAACAGGAGAGGAAAAAGCCACATTCCTCCCCTAAACGATGAGGCCAATTCAGGTCTCTGCTTTGAGTCCCACAGGAAAGCTGGTTGGCTCACACTGGGCAGCAGCTCTGAGTGGGGGCTGTGACCAAGGAGCAAGTTGGGCTGCCTGTCTCACCTGCAGGTGCCACCTGAGGGCAATCTCTGCAGCAGTGCAGCTGCCAGGTCCCCACTGATGCATCTGCATGCTGGAGCCAGGCTGGAAGCAGCATCCAGCTCCCCAAAATGAGACAGTGAAGCTGCCATAAACAAACTGCTCCCTGACATGAATGCACAGATTTGGCTCCAGTTTCCTAGAAACAACATAAAAACTTGAACAGACTCAGTCTGGGAAGATTTTAGGCCCAACAAAGTATTATCTGTTCTCCTACAGGCAGCAGTAAAACACAAGTCTGGAGTAATATGTGAGCTCTTGTCCATTCAGCACAGATGTTATTCGCGCTCTGGCTGCAAGAGCAGAGGGACTGCCCAGTCCAGGAAGCGTGGGCAAGGGTACACCTGTACTTGGGCAAGGCAGAGCTCTTCACCAGAGGTCAGTGTCCCTGTGAAGGTCCTTGGGTTGAGTGGTGGCTTTCAAAGTCCATAGCAACACTGAAACAGGTTCTGGCTGTGTGCTGGCTGGTGTGGCTTCTAACACTGAATGTGCCATAGAGAAGTCTGTGGCATGTGCAGGTGATCTGAAGGACAGCCCAGGTCTGCAGCCAACTTAAAATCACTGTTCAGTGAATGAAAGGGTTCCCACTGCCACCATGGGCACGCACACCCACCCTGCCCACCCGCATCACTCCCTTCTGCCCATGCTCCAGCCAGACCCCACACAAAGCCCTGCAGCAAAACTTCCTAAATATAGGCCTATACACTCAAATAAATGATCTGATTTTCAGCAGAGCTCAGCAATCAAGTGCATCTGAAGTCAGTGGAGCCCTCTGTCTTGCTCCCTGCCTCCCTTTACCTTCCTCCTCGGTGTTTTGTTTCCTCTTTTTCCTGGATTTTGAATTCTTCTTGTTCTTCAGATCCACAAGCTCCTTGATACGCTGCGCAACTGAAAAGTCAAAGCACCATTACGTGAGCAACAGAGGAGACCAAATGCTCCCTGTCCTCCGCTGTTTCAGTGCGGTGCAATTAATACTGTGGCATGACAAAATCCCAAAGGCCAGCAGTGCCCACAGACAGGAATGAAAGCAGCCAGCCCAGCTCCAGGACAAGGAAAGTCTGCTCAGGGTCCTGTAGCACAGCCAGCCCTGAACGCGCTCTCTGAGGGGCCCAGGACATCACTCAGCTTCTCTGAATGGCCACGCAGTTGAGAAGGGGCTCCAGGCAGCAAACTGATACCTAAATAAACTCATTGCCCAAATATCAGCAGAAGCAATAACCCACTTAAATAGTTCAGATTACTACCCCCAATGCCTGGATCCCAGTGCTGGCAGGAAGGGATTTTGTTCCAGGAACAAGCATAGCTGCAAGGGGTGGTTTTGAGGGAGAATCCTCAAGAAAACCCTAATGAATGCTGCACATCCAGCACTGCAGCACTGCTGCCCCCAGGACCCAGATGTGCTTTGGGCAGAATCTCTGCACCTGCTCTGAGGATTCATGGGAGGCACAAACCTACGTTTGCAGCCCCAAGAGGGAATAAGTGTTCTGGAGTTTTGAGACTGGGCAAGTCACAACAAGCACTGCTGAAACAGTCACAAACCAACCAATAAATGCCCTCAAGGGAGATGAGCTGATGGCAGTTTCCTCCTGCCAAGGAAGGACGGACTCCCCTGGCACGCGGTGCTGGGGAGCAAGGCTCTGGCTGTGACTACCTGCTTACTGCCCATTTCTTACACAAAACCCACCAGAGCGCTGCTGGTGCGTGTGAGGCACTTACTGTTTTCATCACTGTCCAGGTGGCGATAGATGTAACCTTCCAGATAGGACTGGAATTTGGGCGATGGGGAGAAAAAGGCCAAACTGATGGCCATCAGTTCCCAGCCCCACGCCAGGCTTCGGAAGCAGGTGTTATCTGTTGTCTGCCGGATCAGCTGTATGTACAGCTCGTCCCGTAAACCTTGCATGCTCCAGCACTTGGTGACCGTGACCAACGCCACGTGATTGCGGTCCATGCGAGTCTGGCGATCTCCCATGTAGCTCTGCACCAGTTTGAACATCTCGCACGCCTCTTTTTTGATGGTGCGGTTGCTTGTGATGAGCATCGGCTTTTTGATAGAGCCGCCGTTCCACGACAGCATGTTGGAGATGGAGATCCTGCGGCGGAAGATGCCCTGAGTGTGCATGTTCAGGTTTTTAGAAGCCCAGTCTGCCATGCTGCTCTGGGAGATGGGCTTCCGCAGGGTGTTGTAAGAGAAATGGTATCCCAGACAGCTGCCCGGCTGCCCGCTGCTCTCCTGCTTGGGGTCCAACTCTATTGCCCCGTGCTGCAAAGGAGAAAAGACGTGTTAAAAGCAGCTTAGCCGACTCCTAGCCCCGATAGTAAAATTCACAACAGTGTGTCATGGGGCTATCAGCAACTGCAAAGCAGCGCATCTGTACAAAACACGGCTTTGTGCTGTTTGTTGCTGACAAGTGCAGATCTGCAAGAGCCAGGCTGGCACGTTCACACACTGACACCATCCCCAAGGGCAGCACCGGGGCACAGAGAAACAGGGCTGCTTGTCCAAGCTGTCCTAGAGCTGCCGGGAGCAGTGCAGGCAGGAGCTGGGCCGGCTCCTCAGGCACCAGGCACACACCAAGGAGCCAGGTGCCCCCACTCTTCACCATCAGCCACCCCAGAGCTCATGTGCTCCATGTACGAATCCACCCACAAGCACATGGGGCATGCAGCCAAGACAAAGGGCTTCTTTCCCCCCAGACACTGTGTGCAATCTCACATGCAGCACTTGCCCAGCCTTCTTCCCCAGCCATCTCTAAGGATAACTACATAATTAGAGCTCTGGTATCACTGATCCCAAGAAAATTACAGTTAATAACTACTTGTGAGAAAAATACACTCATTTTGCCAGTCTCGAATTGAGTTCTGGATGGAAGCAGCAGCCTGGGACACACGCTGAACTCAGACACCCAGCAAGCTGATAGAGGAAACAGACTGTTTTCTTCAACCTCCCATTCCCACCTACAGCCACTAAGTGCTCAGCAGCCCACAGCGCACACTGCGTTCTCCAAGGAGATCCCTGGCAAGAAGGAAAAAGCCAACCAAGATGATCTTGTGGTTTCTGGTTTCAAAAAGAAGAAATCACGTAACGACCCAGCAAAGGCCCTCAGTCAGCCCCAAAACACATCGCTTCTGACACACACAGAGCACTTCCCTTCTCTGTATGGTGCATCACGGACACACCATGCTCAGCTCTGCCCTGTACCAACAGTCACACCTCCCAGCTCATCAGAGCAACCTGAAACAGGCAGGGAGCTTCACTAAGTTTCCTCAAGGAAGGCCAGGGACTAACAAATAGGAGCAGATACAGAAGAGGGTGCAAATGGAGCTGCCTGCTGTGCGGGGCTGTCCACTGCATCCCACCGGAGAAGGGAGAAAGCACCAAGGCTGCACTGGACGTGAGGTGACTTCAGTGGAAATTAAATCTGAAATTAAATCATGTGCCATGAGGGTCCTCCGAATCCAAACAGGAAGGAAGATGGCAAACTAAATCCTGCCAAAGTGCTGTGTGGTGGAGAACAATGCACCAGTCATGCAGGCACACAGCTGGGCTCTAAAACAGCCACTTCCAATAAAAAGATGCTGGGGACACATCAGCAGTTTTCTGAACACCTCAACTCAATGCTGAGGAGTGATCAGAAGGGAGAACAGAACGTAAGGAACCACCACAAATGGATGAGGGTGTAGAAGACAAAATGCTGTCAAGCTGCTGTGCAAATCCTACCCCTGCATCCCATTCCCCACCCATCCTGGGCACCGCAGCTCAGACAGTATACACGAGGGCAAAGACTACCGAAGAAGATATGAGGACCACTAAAACTGCAGGCAGTAGACCTACAATGATGAACAAACGCCTTTTAACAGGGGACATAAGTTGCACCACTGGCATTGCTGCCACAGGATGCTGCATGTTAACCCCCTGGGCTGACCCATCCACACCCTTCTGAGCTTTGACACCCTGCAATTCGTCTTCAAGTTCTTTGACAAAGGGCAGAACAAAATGTAATGGAGCTTCCCAGCCACAATACAAACCACAGCAGCACAGAGGACCTGCTGCGGGCACACCAAGCCCTCCACCACCTCCTCTCCTCCCTGCCTACAAAGCCCTGCCGCTCCATGAGCTGCTTGCTGTCCTGCAGCCACACTGCTCAGTGTGCAGCACACACACTGACCCCCGCCGCAGCCCAGGCTCAGCACCACGACGCTCCAGAGACACACAGGTTAACCTGGGGCAGACGGGAGGTACCTGGGAGGAGCGCCGCGTGGCACCTGATGAAGCCAAGCTGGCCCGGCTGGTCACATTCTTTTCCAAAGAATCTACTTTCTCAAAAGTCCTCTTCTGCCGCACTGTGTCCTGCAGAGCAGCCACGTCACTGGGGAAGCCGCCCCTGCTCTCCAGGCCCTGTCTGTACAGAGACCTATTACTTGCCGAGACGTCATCCCTCGAGCTCCGGTTGATGCACTTTTTCAGGTGGTCGGACTGGAATCGGACTTTGCCGCTCTCTGCAGGGATGCCGCTCTCCAGACTTTGAGCATCAAGGCTGGCTTTGCTTCCCCGGCAGGCTGCTGACCTGCCCACCACAGCACGCATCTC